TTAAGGGGTGTCATAGGTCTTTATTGATACAGAAGGAGGCTGTTTTTCTTGGATCGTGAAGAGATCACCTCTGAAAAAATGAACTCAGTGACAGTAGCACCATCAGGTACTGTGATAGTCACTTTTCCATCTTCTGAAAATATAACAGCATCAGGAAAAGGGGCTGAAAGAAAATAGATCGGGACAAAACCAAACCAGTCTGACCCTAAGTAATGATGATGGATTCCCTGTCACTAAAGTTGAGGACAGGACTTCCAATGGGAACCAAACTGTTGCTTTTCAAAACCTCCTCTCCGTGCTGGCTGTCAGCAGATCACACTTGCTGTGACACCGGTAAAGGGTGCAGACCCAGCGAAACAACTTGCAAGTGGAAAAAGTTCTTCGCATTGCAGAATAAAAATAATTTTGTTAAATAACCAAATAAAAATGCCTCGTCCTTATGAAGAATTTTTAATTCCATTCACAATATATGCATCTGACCTTAGTTTGTCCTTCTGAGTAGGTCACGTGTCTGGGATTAGACACCTGCAGGGTACTCACAGGGTCCTTCCTCCTTTTGTGTTCCTGGATGGCCAGGATGTCAGCACATCTTTATCACTGGCCTAGGGTCTCTCTATATCTTAGAAAGTGAGGTAATAAATCTCCTCGTAGGGTTGGGGTCCCCAAACAGAAATTGTACATCTTTAGCTGTCTCTGCAACTTGGTGTCTCTTGCTGGAACTCTAAAGCAGATCCTAAAGGGCAGTGATCCACACTTAGGACAACTTAAAATAATTGCTCTTTTGTGAGAGGTGCTTGGGCTGGCTGACTGTTCTCTGGGGACATCAAGTACACCTACTTAAAGGGAGCGGAAATGATTTTCAAAGCCTTTAAGGGGCTTTTTTCTGTGATGCTTACCTCCGACCAGTGGGACCCAGAGGGACTTGTCCCTCCTAGAAGGCCACACCTTGTCTGGGCATCTTTCAGGCCACCTCTTAGCAAAGGAAATCTTATTCCAAACTGGAAGCTCTGGCTTTATTCAGGCATGGGATGGCATGTGACTTCTTAGGTTGTCATTCATTGTCTGTAAGACTTGGCTTTTTTTAATAGCAAATGTATGTTGCTTCTATAATTATGGAGAAGTTTTCTAAAGTGTGTCTTTTACATTGCTAGTTTATATACTCCCTACCACGATCTTAATCTCTTGTTAAAAATCCTCCACTTGGGCCAAGGATTTAGCTCAGTGGTTTCACCGCCTGCTGTGCAAGCGCAAGGACCCGAGTTCCATCCCCGGTACCAAAAAAAGAAAAAAAAAAAAATCCTCCACTTATCAGACGATAGACTGGAAGGAAAAAGAAGGATGCTAAACAGCAAAAATGCAATTATAGTACATGATAAGCACTGGGTGGTCTGAGGGCTGAATGTTGTCTTTTGTTATTTGGTTTCTAACATTTGTTCATTTGGGTAGGGGCACATCAGTATTAGCCCAGAAGTAATATCTGATTTATTTTATTTTTAAAAATCACAGCCGGATTTGGTGGTGCATACCTCTAATTCCACTCTCGGGAGGCTGAGGCAGGAGAATGGCAAAGTTGGAGCGCAATGATTTAATGAGATGACCTTATCTCAAAATAAAAAAGAAAGGGCTGGACATGTAGCTCAGGGTGAAAGTCCTGGGTTCAATCCTCAATTCTGGAAAAAAAAAATCACACCTCTGCCCAGGTGACCTAGCAGGGGTACCAGAGCATCCGGCCATGGAGGTGGTGCTGCCACCTTCCAGCACCCACCAGGAACGACAGCCCCTGTCCTGTATTAACTCATGGGTGCTAGAGAGGATGCAGGAGGCTGGGGGCTGAGGCAGGGGGTACGGCCTTGTGAAGGGCTGAGTCTTAAAGGCTGCCCCTGCTCTCCTGTCACCATGCCCAGGGCCTCCAGAATGCCCTCCCTTGACATTCCTGCAGCTCTGTGCAGGGCTGTAAGAGTATGTCCCCAAGGGTCACAGCACTGGCTCTCAGGAGAGGAGCTGGATACAGTTGCAGATAAATCACTGCAAAGTGTCTCAGGTGATTTACACAGTGAAACTTTGTTGATCCGTAACAAGGTTGCTCATCATCTCTTGAGGTTCCCAAATCTTCGCATTCCTTCCCTGCAGTTGGGCTGGCTTCCAGGGTAGAAATGCAAAGCAGTGCAGAACTGGAAAGCCAGAGTCAGCGAAGGCAGGGAGTGGAAACACGTTCTTCCTGGCAACTTTCGCTAACAGATCACTTGGTCCCTGTCTGATTCCTTACTGGGCTCAGGCCCAGAGGGTCCCTTCTGAATTCTTCTTGATCAGGTGGTGTGAAATTTCAGGGTCTAGAGCCGGTTCCTCGTTCACTTTCCTTAGAAAATCTCCACTTCTGCTCTCATTCTTCTCCTCTTTTGCAGAGTCACATTTTGCAGTTAAATAATTAATATACTATACTATAAAAAAATTTACAATCTGATCATAGTGATGCATGCCTGTAATTACAGCACTGTGGGAGGCTGAGCTAGGAGGATCAAAAGGTCAAGCCCTAGCCTGGGCAAATGAACGCCTTAGTGAGACCCTGTGTGAAAAAGAAAAACAGGGCTGAGGGTATAGCTCGGTACAAAGACCCTAGGTTCAATACCCAGTACTGCACAAAACAAAAAAAAAACCTTACAGTAAACCATACAGTGAAATACATTAATATTCCCAGTGATAAATGCTAACTAGATAACATTTGATTTGAATGGTCTTCTTATTCTTTTGTACTTACCTAACATGCATGTGGTTTGATTAATTGGACCAACATTTGGCTCAGGACAGATGCAACCAAAGTTTTCTTTTCTATCTTCTAATATCTAGACAATGGATTCCTCAAGGCCAGAGCCAGCCCTGGCCGTTCATACATTCACCAACCTCTCGTGGACATAGTGAGACTACTGGACCAAGGCTCCTGCTAAGTACTGAGATGCCAGCCCAGTCCCAGAGAACTCTTAAGTCTACTTTGCAAGACAGATGCTGCATACTTAGAGAAAGTTTTTAACTATCAGAGTAACTGCAGGGTGCTCTTCCAGGTTCTCTTGCCTGGAGTAAAGGGACCCAGAGGAGGCTGGGGATGAAGATCAGGGCAGAAGAAAGGCTGAGGAAAGCAGATGGCAAGTGGAGGGAGAAACAAGAGCCCCTGAACACTGTAAGAGTCCTAGCAAGGATGGAGCGAGCAGGAAGGCCAGAACCAGATCCATCTTGCATGTTTGTGGGAGATGCATCTCAAGCTAGTATTTGGGACTTGAGCTTCAAGGAAGCGAGAAACCACTAAAGCAGGGAATTTACACCATCAGGTTTCCATACATAAGAGGTGTGATTGAAAAATACAGTACATGTTTATAGTTTTTTAAAGATGTCTTACAATAAAGACACATTGCCATGAATCCCCCTCAAAATACTGCCCCTCACTTCAAACACACTTATCCCACTCTTCTTTCCATTTCTGAAGCAGTTCTGGAATCCTCTTTCTTGAGTGTCTTTAGTAGCACTGCTGTGTTTGCCTTGATGTCCTGAATCAACTGAAAATGTTGACCTTTCACGGTCACTTTGACTTTGGGGAAGAGCCAGAAGTCTCACAGTGCCAGATCTCATGAATAACACGAATAAGGACAAACCTTACATATTTTTATTTGAAAGAAATTGTCATAAATGTTTTGAATTGGTTCAAGACTTTGACAAAGCCATGGCAAGACAGTTGTTTGGGTGGTCACAAGATGTGGGTTGGGTTTGAACTGCAAATGAGTGCTCTGAACTGGCATAGACATTGAGGAGATGCCAGTGTTGGGAGGGCCATGGAAACCAAGGGCAGAGATTTGGGCCCATGTGTGAATGAATATTTGAGGCTCTGAGGGCTGCCAAGCTGGAGAAGTTAAGCAAGAGAAGGCTGCAAATGAAGCAGACCTGGGGTCACCAAAGAAGCTACCAGGAAGTCAGTGGTCATGGGGCAGGGGGCTGGAGGAAGGAATGTTGCATGGTGTCCATCACTACCTGGAAATCCAGTAGTGCCCGGTGTGGTGCTGGGCAAAGGTTAGCACAGGGCTGCTGACTTCTCTCTCCCCTACTCAAGTCCGCCCAGACCAGGGGTTGAAAACATAATCCGTGTGCCTAGAACGCAAGCTTGCTGTTCATTTCTTACACGAACTCATTTGTCAGCAAAGCTTCAGGTTTCCCTGAGTTTGGGAATGCTGACATCACACACTGCTTTTTGTCTAAAATAAGGCCATATTGATTACTTTCATGGCAACTCTGACTTTGGTGGAAGAAGATGAGGTTATAAAATCAAAATACAGATTCATGAGCCAACTTGATCTACAGATTGAGGGACCCTGATAGATATTGTTAGCAGTTTTCCTATTCTGTTCAAATTCCTTATGTTCATTTTTTGCATGGTTGGTAAGTGCCAATGGGTGACCAGTGACTTTGGGGTGACAAAGGCTCCACTGGACAATTCATGGAAAGGGATGGGACTCCCCCTGTGTCTTTCATATCTGAACACATGCAGGAGGCAGTCAAGGCTTTGATCTGAAGTCAGCATATTTATAGCATATTTATAACATTCAGCTGGAGTAGATTCAGTGTCTTATGGTGAGGGATCTTACAAGTGAAATACCGCCAACCATACTTTTATGTATGGAGAAATGGGGGAACCCAACTTCCCTTCCTCCACAGACCCTGCCCCCAGCAGCAAATCCTTGCTTAGTGAAAAGGAAAAAGACATTGTTTTTCTAGGCTCATGATCTTACTCCTTAAGGTACAATGTAAAAACCAAATCAAATGATTGGTGAGAGAGAATGATAATTGCTTGCTACCTTTTATCCGTTTTATCAGAATGAGTAGGACGTTTGTGTGGTTTTTTGCCCAAGCGAGATGTGGGAGCAGGGTGGGGGTGGGTAACAGGGATCTCTGTGCAGATAATGTCACTGATTTCCTTTGCCCGGATGCTCCCTGAGTTAACCTCGTTGGACTCTTCCCAGGAACTGATGCGTGTGCGCGTGGTGGGCCATTATGCTGCTGCACCTGTGTAGTGTGAAGGTCAGTGTGCTTTTCTGATTATAAGAAACCATCCATGCCATTCCATTATAAACCCTCTCCACTCATGATGGAATGTGTCTCAGCCCAGAGCCCGCTCCAGCCACCCTGCCCGGAATTACCTCCAGTGCACCCCAGACATTGAGATCCATCACCCACTTCCTGCATCTCCCCTCGATCCCCCAGAATTCAACTGTGCTGCATTTTGAGATGATGTTCTTTGCATGTCAAGTCCTTGTGTGATGTGAACATACTGTTGTCCTAAATGAATTTGTATCTGGAAACAAAATCTGTAATGATCCTTCCAAATTGACAGCCGAGAGCTCCAGTGCCTTACAGCTAATGTGGACATGTGGAAATTCACCTTGAGACAAGAGCACCAAAATCTCCTCCTCACTCAAAATCAGGTCACCAGGAGGCTGCAGGGTTGGCAGAATGGACCTGTTGCCTCTTTTTTGGGTGACTTTCCCTGGAAAATGCTTTCCACCATCTCCCCCCAGACTCCCTGCCAAGTCTCCTTCCTGGGTCTCCGTTTTACTTATGGCCCTGGTTTACAAGAAACACAGTTCACTTGCTGTGCATGATTTCCCCCACGAGCCCTCACTGGAGAGGTAGGTGTGATTCTCGCCCATGTGTATATGAGGCAGCTGGGCCACCCTGGCTGCAGTCTCCACAGCTTCCCTGTTGGTAAGTGAGGGATGAGGACTCAGAGGCGGCCCAAGGGTCTGAGCAGGAATCCACACTCACGGGGCCCTTGTGCTGCTCTGCTCATATTCCCTCAGCCAATACTTAAAGGAGGCCTTTCAAAAAAAATGAACAAAAACTCACATTTGTATAGCGCCCTGCAAGTTTACTAAGCAGATCCACCTGTATATTCAGCAAATCCTTGCACTAACCCTGCAGCAGGGAGAGGGATCCCAGTGCTGATCGGTGAGTGTCTTGGTGCAGGGTAGGTGGCGGGAGGGTGAGGCCACCTTCTCACACCCTGACCAGGAAGCTTCTGTCCCAGGGCCCTGCTCCTGGCTCACACAGCTCATACAGAGGGTAACTTCCTTCATTAGTCATTTCAGTGTTACTAAAGAATGATGCGTTGCATTCAGGAAGCATTAAATTAGTGCCTAACCCATGCTTCCAAATACCCAGGGATGGGCCCAGTGCAAGAACTTTAAGTCTCTGTTTTTCTTATCAAGTCTCCCCATCTGTTGTGCTGGTGGGAAACACCTGCTCTGTGACATTGTGACATGTTAGAATTCTGCAGAGGCTTCATTTTTCTCAGCTCCTATACAGCCAGGCTTCCCCACTTGGAAAAGCTAAGCTAAACATGTGGGAAGACAAAGTCCTCCCGCCACCCCGACCTCTGATGCACAGCACCTCTGTCTCTTTAACCCCCACCCCTCAACGTCTGCACTTTTTCTTTGGCTGCAAAGTTAGGGTGAGAAGTTCTTTTTGAAATGCCGAATCACTCCTTTGAGGTGTCCCCTTTTTCTTCTTTCCTGGACTAATGTCCTCAGAAAAGTAGGGTTTCTCAGTCCTAGAGAAACTCAGTTCATGTGCATATTTGTGTACAAGCTTTGCCCTGCAATAAAACTGCTGAAACTTGACAGCAAAGCTCAGTGTACACACACATCATCACAGGTGATTTTATTCAATGATCCAGGAAACATGGTGGCTATGCTTCTCCCTTGACATTGAGCTGAGTGACCTCTCCCTGAGAAACAGGGAACAGAAGACTGGATCTCAACTGATGCTCCAAAGCTCAGCCCTTGGTGGACTTAGTTTGTGAAATATGAGCCTAACCATGGCCCCCTGGGAACCATAAAGGAATAATACAGGGACCTATTTTCAATTTCCAGTGCCAAATTCCTTGCCCCAAGCTCTCTATAATCATGGAAAACTTTGGCTCCATAACATTTGTATTTTTGCTTAAATCTTCAAAACTGAAAATGATACCAAAGTTTTCTGCCCCTTCTTAATATTTTCTAAGAAGTTTAACTGTACTCTGAAATTAGTCTGCAACATTACTAGCTGGACTTCAAAATATTTGGAAATGAACTCAGAACCATTCAGCAGGCAATTTAAGGTATGCACACATTTGATCCTCTGGAATGATCTTCGGCTGACAGATGCTCATCTCAGAAAGAGGCCTAAACAAGAAGGAATTCCTTGCTGCAGTCACTGGCACTGCAAACCACCAAAGATACAAAAGTCTTTGGAGTGATTCTAATATGCATCCCTGGTTGAGAACCACTGGCTAAAACTGATGGAAACCAGTACTCTGTGTGTCTGTAAATAAGAGAACGAGAAAGAGATCTATGTTGTAGATCTTTATGCTACAAAGTTAAGGATCTCGTCACTCAAAGATGATTTTCTGAAGCTAGTATAAGGTCCTTTTTGGAAAAACAAAACAAAACATTAAGGTGGGGTGTATGCACGGGAGTGGCTAGCATCTCTGTGTTGGGCCCCCTGGGATGTAGATATTGATTTTTGTAAGAAAGAAGTAAAACCAGTGGAAGACGAAGGGAGGAAGGATTGTGTAGGGACCTGCAGCCCATGGGAACTCCAGGAGCGAAGACTGCTCTTCCAGGTGGATGGAATTGGCTTGGCCTCTGTAACCCCAGCTAGCTCCACCGTCAGCTGGACACCCTAAGAAGACCATGGGAACCTCTCAAAACTGAGGTGGACTTGAAGGAGTTGGCAGCCTTCTAGCAGCTGAGCAGGGTCCTTTCTTGAAGGGGTATCTGTGTGACACATGTTCATGTCTGCCACACTCTCTGACAACTTGAGAAAATCAGTTCTTGGCTTTTCAGAATTTGGCTAAAAGCAGCTAGAGTCAGGAGGCAATGCTAAGGGGTGGTCCTTTGCCAGAATTCACTGCCTTTTGCGGGGTATGAAGCCACAGGAATGGAAACCATAGGGAGACTAGATTGGCTCATTTGATTGTGGCAAGACTTGGAAGAGGGGGCCTTAACATTTGAAGGGTCATAAAAACTTCTCACATGGAAAATAAGGCCCAGAGAGATTATCTGACATCCAAGCCCAGGCTCCCCTCAACTTCATGCTACCTTGACAGGTGTCTCTTGTCAGTTCATCCTCCTTGATAGCAAGTCACACAGTAAAAGAAGGCTAGGGCTGCAGAACTTTAGTGTCCTTGCTTCCAGAGGAAAAGTGTTCCCAAAGTTTCCTACCTTCCCCCACACCACCATATCTTTAGTTGTATCACTCAGCTTTCCATTTGCTGCAACAAAGTGTCTGAGACTCACAAATTAAAGGAGGAGAGGTTTAATTTAGCTCATAGTTTTGGGGGTTTAGTCCATGGTCAGCTGGCTCCAAGGTGGAAGAGCATGGTGGAGAAAAACTGCTTACTTCCTAGAGTCCAGGAAGCAGAGCCAGAGAGGAAGGGGCAAGGGATCAGGTGTAGACCCCAAAGTGACACCTCTGTGACCCACCCAGAAGGATAAATTTGAATCATTTGTAGGAAAATGTATGCACTTCACATCCATAATATCAAGTGAAGTAAATCAGACTCACACATTTAAATATCACATTTAAACTCTCTAATATGAGAAACCCACAGTATAAAAGAATAAAGTGTGTCCCACCAATCCCTTGGGGGTAGATCCCAAAGCCAATCAAATCGACCCTCCACTCTAACCACCACATTAGTCTAGAGCAGTGATGGCAAACCTTTTAGAGCCTCCAGTGATACAAATAGCTCTCTGAGGCACACATGCCATAGGTTCGCCACCACTGGCCTGGAGGGTGTTAGTTGACAGAGGTGTAGATCATCAGTCATCAGGAGCCCACAGAGTCCTACGCCACTGTATTGTAATACGTCCTGGAGGACAGGTGATAAATGTCCCTGCATATGGAGCCACACCTCTAGACTCCACAGAGTCAGGGATCACAGTGACCAGCGCAAGCTCCCCTCTGTCTCTTCTCCAGTCTCTGCCTGGAGCACAGGCTTCTTGGCCTGAGGGAGAGAAGTAGCATCATCCAGCAGTGCCATGTGTGAGCTGAGTCATGCCCTTGGCAGGGTCAAGGAACCACCGCCAGGAGGACAATGACCCTGTCTGAGTCTTTCTCCCAGGCTGCTTGCCCCCTGCCTGCAGCCCACTGGTGGGCCCTGTCCCCTGCCCAAAACTCAGATCATCTGGGCTCCCTCAGTGGCTGCCTGATTCCTGGTGGTAACTCTGCCACCAATATTTTCCCATCAGGAAGCAGCAGTCTCAGCACAGAAATAAAACTCCTGCTGACTTGCTTACAGCCTGTCCCAGTAACTGTTCCAGAGTGTCATCTTGACACAGCACCCCAGGAGGACCACACCACATGGGCTGCCAGCCTTTCTGCGAACCATGCCCAGCAGGACCAAGCCACAAGCACAAATCAAGGCCATGGCCACTGAGCAACTTCTGAGCCTGCTCTTTAAGAATGTGCTCTTGTTTTCAATACATAATCTGTCCTGTTCTTTCAAAGTAAGTGCTTTTCTAAAGGGCCTGGACTGTCTTTTAAACATAGCTATTTCTCACTTAAAGGGAAATGTATTTCTGTCTAGAAGCAGGGAGAGTTTGAGGAAAAGACTTCAGTGTGAAATCCAGGCTTGGTTTAAACTAGGGCATGCACCTTGTATAGCTATTTTCTTCATGCTGCATGTGGCAGAAAACGTGTGTGTGTGCATGCATGTGCACGCGCGCGTGTGTGTGTGTGTGTGTGTGTGTGGTCACTGTTTTGAGCTTTGCCTATTTGAAGTCCTGTATAGTAAGTGATTTTGTTCAAGCAAGGGAGTTTCAGCTTTATTTTCAGCCACAGATGCCTCTCCTCTCTGGTAGTGCTACATTTAGACCAAAAAATTTTCTTTTTCAGCAAGAACTAAAAGTTCCCTAGCATTATTGTCCCCCCAGCCCCCGCCATGCCCATATGCATTGTGCAGAATTCTTAGAGAACGCGGCATTGCTAACACTCTGCAGCAGCCTCAGTAGAGCCCTGGGTGTCAGCAGATATGGGCC